TCATTACGTGTAAAGTAGATTTCAAATTAATACAGATGTTAACTAGCAAAAGTACAGAAAGAAAATAAAGGTTACAAATATATAGAAATTAAATTAAAAATTATACCTGCTGACGTGAATCTACTGCTTCTGAGAGACAGAAAAATGTAGTTGATTTCAACAAAATAATGCAATAATCTGCAAAAATTAAAGAATACAATACGAGACAATACGAGATGAAAAGTTGGCAGATGAAATCAGAAAGGCTAAAAAAGAAAAAAGTTGAGAAGAAAATGATAATACAAACATTTGTAAAGTCACATGATCATGAACGTTTTGAGTTACCTTGGAAAATATGGGGGCAATGAAGAGAGGAATGCAAGGAAAGCAGAAACGAGACTGGAGCAACAGTTGTTAATTCTGCAGCGAATCCAATTGGTTAGTTATGTTGGAGTTTTGACAAGATATTGTAATTATTAGCAGCTTCAAAAGGAATGAATGTAATAACATAAATGAATTGCATACAAAAGTTAATTGATGGTATAAAATGCACCTCGCTTAAGCGACTTTGAGCGATGGAAAAAAGAATAACAATATTACTAAGGCTTCTCACCTTCAATCTGCAGAAAAGAATACAATATTAGTTAATATGTAACATCAAAAATGCTGAAAAATAACGTAAGTGGAGAAGGAAAATGGGGATTGGAATATATAAGTGTAAAGCCACATAAACAAGAAGCTTATGATCATTTACTTTACCTCTGAAAATATGGAGTACTGGAGAGAAGAATGAAGGCAGTGAAAGTAGTGGAAGCTGGAAAAACAGTTGTTTGTGTAGTGAAGGCAGTTGGTTTGCTGAGAAAGGCTATAAATTGTGCTGGACGCCTGCAAGTCTGGCACTGCCTTGAATCTTATATAGCGCGAGAAATTGAGAAATTAGAGAGATGGCACTTCATTGCTGTCCTAACCAATAAAAAAATGACAACTCATCAATCATGTAATGCAATGTTAAATTTTTTTTAAATAATGATCCACGCGTCTCCGACGTAATAGCTATGAGGATTGGTTAGTGGGGATCAGTTCCTATAAATTGTATATTTGAGTCTTACAGATTTTTTTTTTTTCTCAATATACTTAATATAATAAATGTAGTACTTTTTGTTAGAAAACATTTTTTTAATAATAGACAAATAATATTTTTATAACTTTTGTTATAATTTTTATATAATATTAAATAATTATATATATAATATTATAAGTTTTAATAAAGTTAGAAAATCAATTATTAAGTGATAAATAAGGTTTTATAAAAAAAATTATATTAAAAATGTTTTTCAATTATTTTTCAATTTTTTTAACATATTTTTAATAATCCACTTTATTTCAAATAATGAAGAATAGGATTAAAATATATAAATTAATTGTAATAATAATTGATATTTTTAATCTATGTGCATAATCAAAATAAAATAATTATTGTGGAGGCAAAGTGTTTATCAATTTAATTTTTAAAATAATTAAATTAAATTAATCCTTTTAAAATTTTCACCTAATTATTTATTT